AAAAGTGCAATTTCTAATTGAAAATAACTTTAAAATGGAGAGGAGACGGCAAATTTCTCACATCTGACTATTGATTTATTTTGGTTTGTAAAATTACCCTTTGAAGCATTGCTTATGCACGAGTGAATTCGGAACGGTTCGAATTTAAAAATATAAAATTATTTTATAATAAATTTTTGAAAAAAATACATGAACAGTGGGTAGGATACTGTTAGTAGTTAACAGATTAATATTAAATCTGAATAATTACACGGGATTAGGTAACTTAACTGTTATGAATGGAAATTTTGCTATTTTTCTTGGACATCTTACCACTAAACGTTCGATAGGTAGAATGAAACACCGAAACACTGTTGTAACCACGAAATTTTTGTTGTTTTTGCATAATTTCTGAAAAATTATGTTTCTGGTAAATTATTAACATTTCTAAACAGACGTATATACTTATTGTCTTTGCACATTATTAAATACTAAAGATATTACATTATATGAATGGGTGTATAACAATTTTTCACACAAAATCACGTCACACTATTTGAATATTTATGCAATTTATGTAAACTATTATCTATATAGTCTACTCTGTGGATAGAAAGAGAATCATTACTTATACTACTGGGAAGAGATTCATCATCGAAAAATATAGTCAGAACATATAAAACACTTCATACCTTATTTATTTGTTATTACAAATAGTAATTATAATTTTATATCTTGTTTCTTTGCCATTAGAAATAATAATTATAACTTTGCATCTTATTTGTTTGCCACTATAAAATGTTAACTACATTGTACGAACAGTTATTAACATTGAAGTGTTTTCAACTGGCTCACATGTTATATTTACAAATAAAATTTCTGGTACTTGGAATCTTGTATAAAGGATCTGTAAATTGACAGTTTCAAAAATCAAAGAAAAATTTACATTTATTTGAATGTGATATTGTAACAGAGGTTTGTATACTTGAAGAATCAGTTCTTGACCTATTAGCTGAATGTATAGATTCAGAAGCTAAATACATAAAATGATTATTAATATGCATAAGAATTCATTGGAATTTTAAAGTACTATGAATCATTCAGTATCACCAAAAATTCTGTGGCCTATATTACTGTAATTAGCGTACGTGTTACATTTACAAATAAAAGCGTGGGTAAATAATAAATGGGATAATATTTTCAGAAAACTGTTTATATTCATGTAAATTTTTCGTTTTGTAATTTATGAAACTGATCAAAATGTGTTATTAACAACATCGTTAAAATTATTCATTAGAAAATTTGTTACGGTTGTTATTTACGAGAAAAAAGAATGTGGCTCACTTGTGTGACCGATCTAAGCGTGTATGTACATATTAATTTGTATTATGATGTATAATTAAATATATATTGTGTTACTGTATTTTGTGTTTTCTGATTAAACAAGATTTCGGACAAATCTGACGAAACTAAAGTAAGGTGAACTACAATTTTTTTGATTTGATGTAGAAAGTATATAAATAAAATTATAAAAGCATACATACAATAAATATATGGTTAAACACTTTTTATAACACAGGAATCTTAATATACTCTACTCATAGTGCGCGTAACAGAGTTTTAAGATTAATGCAAACGAACCTTTATTAATCTGTAATTTATATATTGAAATATAAATCATTGACTTTTACAAAATTATAAAAAAATTTTATTTTGCAATTTTATAGACGTGAAAGAACAATACATTTTTTGTTTAAACTCTTTTATGCTATGTCTTACCGTTCTCATGATAATTCACAGGAAGAACGATTACATTTTTTTCAAGGAGTGGTTTCTATATACTTTCTACTTAGGACTGAGTTAGTCTACTTACACACAAAGTGTTATAATTTTTTGAATTTCCGGGTTTGATACCTTTCCTTGTGAGACAGATTAAATGTCGATGTTCCAACATTCATTATTACTATATCTGTGAAGAATATTAAAATTTTCTAGACCATTGATAATCTTGCAAGTTCATTAGCAGGAAACATACAATAATCATATGCTTAGTAACTAATATACTACAGCATTTAAAAAGTTAAAGCTTTTGTGTTTCCCAAATTATAGTTTAGCTTTTATTTTTTCAAATAAACGTGAATTTGCCTTACATTTGATGTGTATTCTCGACATTGCTTGATTTTGATCATACACTCGACGAGAAATTTTTGAAATACCTTTTCTCCTAATTTTACTTCTCCATTTTTCTCTTTGTAGACTTATTGCTTACCCTATGTAGTATTTTCTGCGGCTTGAAGCGTTAGTCCATAAATTAACAAATTGAAGCATCAATACTTCATTATACCATTTTACATCAGAATATTCACATTGTAGTTTTTATGTACGTACAAATTCGATTTTTGGAAACATTTGGGCTTACTTCATACTATATATTTTCTATCGCTATTTATGAGATTTTCTCATTTCTACGGTAGTTGGACTATTTCATTTTTATAAACATCTTCAGATTTATTGTTAAAAAATAATTGTATTACATTTTGCATTCCTTCTTACAAATTTTTTCCATTTAAATCGTTTTGAAAGGTTTGAAAGAAGTGAAAATCTGTTAGTGCCAAATCTGAAGAATACAGTGAGTAGAATAAATTTCCATTTCAGTTCCAATATTTTTTTACGTTACCATAACCACGTATGGTCTTGCGTTATCATAAAGATATCATTAAAACACTTGAATTATAAATTCCAAGATCAAAAATTAATGAGAATATCTTACACCAGTCTCCCTTAGGCCCTAATGTTTATATTAAAGATTGGTAGAAGCGATAAGAGGAACAGATTGTTTATACAAACGAGAAGGCGGACAAAACTTACGCAGCAACCTAATATATGGGGAAAGTTTCCTATATTGCACCACTTAAGCAAATACTTCCATAAATCGATAAGGTGTTGATATTTTCGAGCAGAAAATGTGAGAATAATCTTAGCATTGTGGTTACATACATGTAACAAAACTGACTGAAATATTATGTGACTAGTTACAAAAAATATTTTTTAAAAACCGTCAACAGCTCAACTTAACAAATGGATTATATGATTTCAACTACAAGTATTCCAAATTGGATCATGCTTATTTTTTGATTAAGATATGTATAAAATCCATACTATTGTATTAATGTTTTATACCTCCTGCCGATTCTATTTAAAACGTATGAGATTATTTTTGTACACAACTATAGTCTTTCTCATGCTTACTTTATCCCATTTGTTATAGTTTCCAAGTTTAAACATTTTTATCTTTAAAAATATTAACCAATCAACTGTTGCGATCTCTTTGAAAAGTGTGTACGAGTAGATTCGTCATAATACAAAACCTTGCTATTTCTTTATGACGATTATACTCGTCAAACACAGTTAACTATGTAGTTAAGAACCATTCAGCATCATTATATCTATCTATTTGTAATATAATATATATGTAATAAACAAAAACTAATATAAATCTGAAGAAAATAATGTAACAGCATTAAAGATACGATCTTTAATTACCTATATATGTATCATAATTAATAATTTACTCAGAAATAAAAAGTTATAGCTTATCTAAACTACAAGTAAAATTATAACACTTAACGTCGACATAGAAACTGTATCAGACTAAAATTGTTACTTATTGTGTAATAATTGGTTTTCTTTCGGTGCCTTTAGTAAGCGGCATACAAACTATAATTTCACGCTAAAAGATATCAGTAAAATAACTATACATATGAAAAAGAGCTATGGTCTTGTTTAAGAGACAGCCAAAATTAAGCTACTTTTCCTAATTAGCAGTAACAACTTTAAACGAATGTTTTTCTTTATTCTTGTGATACTCGAAATAATAGTAATTGGACAGACTGTTTCAAGGTTTATTGTCCAACGTAACTCTAAAAGAATTATAGCTGCCGAGGGAAAATAGAAATGAAGGGAAAAAGTTCAAATTTACCAAATGTTTTAACTTAAAAAAATACTGCTTGTCCTTGAAATATAGCTTAACCTTTTTACAAAGTTTAAATTTAAGTGTTCAAATGGTATTCTTAAAAAAATAATTAAACGTCTATTAACGAGTAATAGATAGCTAAATCCGTTAAACATCGCAAAGTTTGAAACCCTGCACATAGGTGTGAATTATAAATTTCTAGATTTGGAGAACTATTTCCTTAACAGAAGAACTAGACTAAAGATTGAGATGTGAACAATAAATAATTTTAATCACAGACACGCTGAATCAAACTCTGCATAGTCACTTAAAGACAGTTAGCCAACAGAAACTTTGTTTTTTGAATAATAGAAATAAAAAAGAGATTTCTTTCGAAGATTTAAAGACTGCTTTTTAAGTATCACTGTCATTCTACAGGGATCGATGATTAATCTTATGTACATTGGTCCAGAAAACTATTTAAAGTATAGAGGAAACCATTAACTTAATAAAATCATTCTACCTCAAACGTATATTGTTCAATTTCAACCTATAACATTCCAATAAAATTTATACACATAATTCACATACGTACCATATGCACCATACAGAAAAATTTCAAAATATCTATTATATTTTAAATACTTCATTAGATTTGCTATACATATCCATTGAAACTTATTTAATATTATTTTCTTGAAATAAGCTTGACGAATTGATCGTTTCGCAATTGTTTGCTATATGAGTGTCACAAATTCGATCGTTAAAGAAGAAAAAATTATTCTTAATATCATATTATTTCTTTCTTAATTATTTGGAAAGCCAAATATCTTCCAAAATGAATCGATCACATGACAATATGGTCTAACAATCCTGTGGTTATAATTGTTCTTTCCAAGCAATACATTGCACGATTCGACTGTGAATCTGGCTATACACATAGGTTAAGGTAAACCTGTCAGATATGCTCGTACGAATCTGCTGAAGCGTATGTATGATAAACCTGTGCAGGCCTTTCGACCTGTGTAGGTGACCGGAGCAAATAGGAAAAATTGTTCGATATACCTACACTATATCCTGTGCTATCCTGTGCAGTAAAACAGGAGCCTGTGTAGCAACGTTAACACGTTTATGGTCGGCAAATTGACCGCCTACTACCGACTATAAACTCCTGTATACTGGATCTATATAAACAAACGTACTTGTTACTTAAAAACTAATACAAATATTGTCATTTAAACAGTAACATATAGTATTTGCTAACTTTCGTTATTCTAGTATATTCTTAATCAAAGAAAGTATGTTAAAAATAAGCATCCCAATTCGATATCGTTCATTTAAGAACAACAACATTATGTTTGTATACCATTCATAATCGAAGTGTCAGATTTATGTTTATAATAAAATAAAAGCGTATCATGTTACTACATATAAAAAAGTTCATATCACATCGTACAAAACTGCAAAGAATTTTTAAATTGTGGTTATTTCCTTATGCTTTGAAACAGCATTCTGCCGAAACAATATTTTCCTTATTAATTAATGCAGCAACTAAAAAAAAACTTTGATCAGATTTTTTCAGAATTCTTCGTTAATCAGTAAATAACTGTACTAGTTTAACTTACAAGAAAAAGTATTATAACTCGGAAATTCCAAAAATTAAGAAACTTTGCGTGTAAGTAGAGTCAGTCAGGCTTAATGCACTGCAATTTTTTTCGTGCAGAATTTTACTTTGAAGAGATGAAACCAATCATTGAATAAAATGTAATATTTTTCTTTCCTGTGAATTATCTTGAAAATGGTAAGAGATAGCGAAAAAAGTTTTAAAAAATACATTGTTCTTCCATGTCTACAAAATTTGTAAAATAAAATTTTCAAAATTCGAAATTCAGATTCAAAATTTTGGAAAGTTTGAACATTTTAAACAATTTTGTTTTTCAGTATTATAGATGTGGTAGAACAATATTTTTTGTTCAAAGTTTTGTTCGCCATCTTTTATCACTTTTAAGATAATCCACGGGAAAGAAAAATACTGCATTTTCTTCAAGGGATGGTTTCACCCTTTCAAAGTGAAATTCGGCCCGAAAAAATTGCAACGTATTAAGCTTGACTGACTCTACTTACACACAAAGCTTCATAATTGTTTGAATTTCAGATTCGATACATTTTCTTCTTAGATGTAAATTCCAATTAATTTAACGAGCAATAAACGAATAAATCAACTTGTTTGTTCATCAAATATTCTTTACATTACGTATCTCGTTTTATGTTATGTTGAAAAAACTGTTGCTTGTAATTGATTGTAAGCTTACTACCGCCGTAACATCGTCTATTAATGTCATGGTCAGCCGATAAAACTGTGAATACTGGCAGGTTCACCAGAGCATGTGGATGCACTATGAGTATCAATTAGTCTGTACGAGCAAGCTTGTACAGGCATACTGGACAGGTTTACTTTAATGCGCGTAACTGGCTTAAGGGGTTACATACAGTTACCTACGCAGGTTAAAAAGATCGATTTTTCAATACGTTTATGTGAATGTATTGTTTTTGATGAGACGAAACATTTCAACAGTTAAATGAGTAGCATTTTGAACTATAGCCTATAAGAACTGTATTTTTTAATAAATCCAATTTAAAAAATTCACGAAATTTATAAAATGCATAGTAATAAAATATGCAAAATTTAAAATAAAAAACTGGAAACAACGTTTCAATAAAAAATGTCAAAGTTTTTCATATTTTTCATCGAAAGAGATGAGATTCCTTTTTTAAAGCATTTGCATTGAGAATTTTAGTAACAAATTCAGAAACATTTCTATATATCGAAAAGATATTATGCCTGTGCTTGTGTATTCTTCCTGTAAAATTATAATATTAATCCAGTTTCCATGGTATGGGTTTAAGAGACATGCTATGAGTTTCCAGCTCACATTTCATACAGGTTCGTTACACTTAATTTAAGCAAGAATATATAGTTACATATAGTTTAAATATGGTGATAATCATTTATAGATTTATATTTATTCTCTTAATATAATTAATTAACAAACTTTAGAAAAGGATTTCTCTAAAGCTCCATGAAACCCCCCTTTGAAGTTTATACACAACGTAGTCTTATATGCTTTAAATAGTCTGCAAAAATATTACATACTAATAGTTACTAATATCCTTGTTACAATTGTTAGAAGTAACGCATACGATTCCAGAGAGCGAAGTATTCGCACTGTGGGGACGTTCTACATAAAAAAAAATAATTATCAGTGTACGAAACAAATATACATGTTAATTACGTTTCGCTTACCGTTCTGTTATTGTGTCCGTTTTCACAAATACAAATATCGTCCGTACGAAAAATGGTAGCTATTTCTTGAAACGAAATGCCAGAACTAACAGGAAATATATTATATTCTCGTACCCCCTGAATCTCGTTGTTCACATTTTTCTCCTAATTTGTCTCAATGCTGCATCTAGAAAGAAGAAGAATACGATTTAAAAAGGAAGCAATTTAGATATTACTTATGTCAGGAGTGGTTTTCCGTTATCCGAAGAAAACCGACGAAGCAACACGAGAGAAAAGTAACGGCGCGTGAAAAAAATAAGACATGAAATGCGATGCTTGTGTGTAAAAAACGAAAAAGAAGATAGAAAGAGAAACACCGAGAAAACCGGAAAAAGGAAAATAACGCAAAGCGAACTGAAAGTCACATAAATAGAATTGTCCGTGGAAACAGAACCATTGGGACCGAGAAAGAATGATACCAGTAACAGATACGAATACATCGAATGGCTCGGTGTCTGTAAAACATACGATCGTTGAATGAATGCCATCTCTTGTGTTAAACTTAACAATTTTCAATTTGAAATTGTTGCTTCCAAGGTAGAATTTGACGAAGTTACAAGAAAACATGTTTAAACGGTGACATCTCTTTATCGAATTCTAACGATAAAACTATCGCGCAATGACATTGACATTATGAAATTATTTTGTAGAATCTCCAAGCAGGTATCTATTGAGATTTTTATTGATTTACAATTTAGTTTGTACATGACTAAATCAATTTATTCAGTTATTTCTCAGAGAATCGTCTGTTATGCTTTCAATAATTACGAAAGGAAGAAATCAGGAATGGGACATTTTCACCTGCGTGATATTTTTAGTGCCAATCATGGCAAAACCATAATTGAAGTGAAAGATAAGAGAGAGAGAGAGATTTGTTTCGTTAATAATTAAAAACAAATACAGATCGCTATAAATACAATTACAGTGAACATTGGGTAACTGCACACTCAACGGAACCGGAACGTTGCAATTATGAAGAGGTAGAATCGAATCCACTTCAAGAAACGAAGATTTTAGCATGGCGGATGTAGAAATGGACAACGCGAGTGAAAGAAAAAGAAAGACTGAAAGTCGAAGCGTTCGGCAACATTAAAGGCTCGCGATGAGCTTGAGACCTTTAACTCGAAAATCAAACTTCTTTATTTTTAACTTCTAATGAATGAAACTTTTACTATCATGTTTTTCATGTTTGTATGAATAAAATGACGCCAAACACGATAGAATTACGATCATAATTGCTTGCATAATAAACGATTGAAGTTTTAGATATAGAAACGGACTGCGAATAGAGAAAAACGAAACGTTGAAATCGTCGAGTTTGATAATAGTCGAATCATGTTACACCCTTCAATCGCGGTCGGTCGTCGAGCGTTATGTCTTTAAAAGAATCTGGTGGTAACATGGTTGGGGCTGGCGCGGGTGCAATTATGAAGATCTCCCCAATGTTGCAATTATTCACGTATTTCGGTTGATTACTGTGCTCTATAAATTTTCATTAGTAAAGGATCTATCAAAATTTACCATCTAGCTGTTGCATCGATGTTTAAAATATTTTTAAATCCTTTAAACATCGATGCAACAGGTAAATGGTTAATTTAGATAGATCCTTTACTAACGAAAATACTTTGAAATCCTTTCAACATCAATGCAACAGGTGAATGGTTAATTTCGATAGATCCTTTACTAACGAATATTTATAGAACATAGCAATCAACTGAAAAACGGGAGTATTGGATAATTGCAGCACCGAGAACCTCTTTATAAATGCAACCTATATTCAATGTTAAGTAAGTATATAATATTCTCTGTACACATTTTTTATTAAAATTTCAAGAAGATTTTTATCATATAATTTCAGTATTATATCTATCAAGTGATATACCATTCTTGTTAAAGTAAGTTTTAATTCCTTTTATAGTGATCCAAATTTGCGAATTGCTCATTCAAATATTTGCTTTCAAAACCTAAAGATAGAAATCTGGAGCTGTCAAATCTGGCGATCTTGATAGTCAGCCGATATCGCAGCTACGTATCATTAGTCGACATGGAAACTCCGTCTGTAGAAGATTGATGGTTCCTTTAACCGTATGTATCCGAACATAATCTTGTTGAAATCACATGTCTTTCAAACATCGTTGATTCAATTTAGATGCCAGAAAGTCTCACAGCATTTGATTATACCGCGAACCACTGATGGAAATAACACCATCGACAACATTTTCAAAGACAAATGGTTCAATAACGTAGACCCTGTAAGATTGAACATTTCTACACGTTCTTGTAATGTGTAATGCTCTGTAATTGATTTCCAGAGGTATTCAGTGTTTTATCGATAGATCACGATCAGCAAAATAGTTTAGAACAAAACTAGCAGCTAATGAAAAGTGTTGTAAAAGTAACTACTTTTGTCGCACTCTGTAGAAGTTAAAGGACGCGAAGCCAAAGCGGCCAAGTGTTCATCCAACATTCTCTCTTGCTTAACCGTACAGAGTGAGCACTCTTGTCTCTACTTGATTATATTCTTCATGTGGAATGAAAATGTGAATTACTTGGAAACGTGCAAACAATTACACAATAACAAGCTTCATGTAACAGCAAGAAACTTCGTTACATCTGCTAAAACAAACTACTCTTTAATCACGTCTGTTTCACAATTCCTTTTCTATATTATGAAATTTTTGTATTTATATGTTGTAATGGACTGTAGATATGATACCATAATGTGACAAGCATAAACAAATGTTCAGTCACGTTAAGTTTTGTCGATTACAGTGTCAATTCATACATCTTTGTTCTTCAAAGAAGTC